ACTATAAATGGTGGGGGGGAGGAGCAGACATAGTGTCAGTGTATTGGAAACTGCTGTAGGTACAGGCTAAGTAAAACTGACAAACTGCATAGGGAGAGACTAGGTCAATTAGCTATTTTTATCAGCAACAAGTTTGATTGCTAGCTCTTTGGGCAGTCACCCTCTTTGCTGCCTCCTTTTTTATTATAGGGGGCATTTTGTTTTTTTTAGTTTGCAGTTGATTTGAGGTTTTAATTTCGTTTGTGGGTTAATTGTTTTTTATTTTATTGTGATAGATCCTTTAAGGTGGTCAAAGTGCAGCATTTACTTAGGCCTATTCTCCCTGATAAAACTGTCCTGCAACTGGTCAAAAACACGTGCCTGTGTCCAGTGTCTCTAGCACAATAAAGCTTAAAGTGTATCAAAGCCTAAAAACAAAAAAAGTAATATATTGAAGCTTACCAGACATTAAATGAGGTGGCTGCATACGTTTTCTTCCCTTTATTTTCACATGGTAAACCTGCAAATAACAATAATTCTTCTCTATGAGTGGCTATGGTCATTCCTCCACTGTATCTAGAGCGGGTACTATGGTTGCCATCCAGACTAGCCTTCAACATTTGTTTATCTCCATTTTATGGGGGATGGTGATTAGTAGTTTGCAGAATGAAAGATAATTGATTGATGTATGCTTCCACTTCATATCACAAGAAGTGAAAAGGACTCTTCATTTCTGGCAAGATCAACAGGTATTTTCTTTAGTTGCTGAAAATATGCTGCAAATGAATGCAGCCACCTCAGTTACTTACCAACCTCACGATTTGTTAGCTGCAATATCTTAAATTTATGGCCTTAGGTTTAGTTCTCGTTTTCCTGTACCCATTATGACCTAGCTATGGTCATTAAACTTGCTTTGCCTTTGTCAGGGACTATAGCACCTCCAGGTGGCGCAGGAACCAGGTCCTGCAGTTCCTGTGCTCACCTACAGGTGTTTTCAGGCAGACAGGAGATGTCAGGTTCCAGACCACCACTGGGTGGTGCTGGAGCCCGCATGTTCAGTCCTCACCTGTGGCTGTCTCCCAGCTGTCGGTGATTAATCACTACCTAGGAGGCTATTTAATCCCTCCCTGCAGTCTGGATATTGCCTCAGTATCCTGTCGCCATTTGCTGTGAATCCTGAGTTCCCGTCCTGGGAGTCCTGTTACCTGTTTGCAGTCCTGAGCCCTGGTGCCCCCTAGCACCCCGACTTTTGTGCCTTAGCTCCCCTGGTGTTGCTTTGCTCCCCGGGTTTACTTGCCTGTTAGTTTGTGCATGTGGTTGGGTTTAGATGTAGTTAGCTACTCTTACTTGTTTCTGTTTATATTATTTGGTGTGCATATTAAACTGTGATAATAGCTCATTTGCAGTGTCTGGTGTGTTTGGTCCACCCGTGTGGGTACCTGCATGCGATGTGAGGGCATCCGCACACTTTTCCCTGATAGCCTTGGTTTATAACACAGTACATTTACTTTTTTCTACAACCAATGGTCACTTCATTACCTTCTTACCTCAGGGACTCCGGCCAGCTCATTGAAATACTACACCAATACACATGGGAACCCACTTACCACTGGGTATCCCTTGACGTATGTTCACTTTACACATCCATTCCCCATCACTTAGACCTCCAAGCCCTACAATACTACATTTCACAAGCACCAGCTTTCAACCACAAACAAGCACAATTAATTGTGAACTACACATGTTACACGTTGGAACACAATTACTTCTCCATCCTTGACAAGTTCCATCTGCAGATCCAAGGGACCGCCATGGGAGCTAACTATGCTTCCAGCTATGCTAACCTCACCATGGGCCACTGGGAACAGTTTCACATATGGGAGAACAACCCCTTTGCTGAAAATCTCATATACTACGGGAGGTACATACCGTAGATCAGGGCTCAAAATTTGAAGTCCTAAGCTACTAGCCACGCCTGAAAAGTTACTCGCCACCAGTTGCCCCACCTAACCCCTACCCTGCTCCGGCCTTAAATGAAACATTCATTTAATTTACAACACACTGCAATAACAATAACTCAGGCCTCAAATTCACCCATGTTATAGACTCTAAAATCCTGGTATTCCTAGATTTAGAATTTTCACATGACAAATGCCAGATCATCACATTTTAAACCAACAGCTGTCAACTCTTACATTACAACAGCTGCCACCACCCCCGATGGAAACAAAATGTACCAAACAGACAGTTTTGCACACTCAAAAAGAATTGCACCAAAAATGAAGATTACCTCTCCCAGAGCTCCCACTTAAACGAAAAATTCCTAGAAAAAGGCTATCCAAAAGGTCTGATCGCATCATACCGTGACATGTTCTCCAAACCAACACCCAAACGCAAAAAAACACAAACAGATCAAACCAATAAAGTAAGATTCATCACTACCTTCAATAACAACTTCAAAAACAGTGAATCAATCCTCCACAAAAACTGGCATATGCTACTATGCGATCCAAAAATGGGTACATTACTTCCCAAAAAACCATCGGTAGTCTTCAAGAAAGCAAAGAACATCAAAAACATCTTGGCACCGAGCAAGCTAAGCTCGACCAACCCCAGGCCCACCAACACTTTTCTCTTTGATGACAGAAAAGGAACATACAAATGCAAAAAAACAAGAAGCCTTACATGCCAATTTATATCCCACGGACAAACAGACTTTCAGAACAACATGGGAAACACATTTTCAATTATACAATTCATTACATGCGCCCACAACTATGTGATTTATGGCCTCAAATGCCCCTGCTGATTCCTATACATAGACCGCACAATCCCAACACTCAGAACACGCATAGGCGAACACAGAAGACTTATAGAAGAAGGGAGCACAGACCACAGCGTCCCACGCCACTTTCTAGAAAAACATAGAAAGCAAACACAGGGACTCCAAGTATTCACTATAGAACGCATCCTGGATGATCTCCACCCCCTAAAAAGATTTCACCTACTCTGTAAGCAGGAAGCATATTGGATCTACAAACTCAACACCCTCAACCCCACAGGCCTGAACGAGGAACTTGAAATCAGCAAAATCATATACAGATGTTCCTCACTTACCGACTTACCTGTTTTGCGACCACTCGCACTTACGACGGAGCGCCGATCGACCTCCGACCTTGCGCGTCAGCGTCAGTGCGCCGTGTCGCCGGCGGAAGTGGTGTCCTCCGATCTTCATTGCGGGTCCTGGTAAGTATTTTCATTGCCCGATGTACAGTACACTGTTCGTTACTGTACATCGGCAACGCTATACAGTACTGTACTAATGCAGTACAGTACTGTATAGAGTTCCTCACTTAACGACCAATCCGTTTAACGACCTGGTCGTAGGAACGGAACTCGGTCGTTAAGTGAGGAATACCTGTAACGATAAACCGCAGTCTCCTTTCTGTCACTACTGAACCCTGCAGCGCACTTACCTCTCAACACTGCAATCCCTACCCAGAACACACACACAGACATCCCAACTCTCCCGGATGCTCCGGGAGTCTCCAGATAGCAGCTCCCGGCCGCCCGGGAGAGAAACACTTCCTCCCGGAAAGTGCAATAGCCAATAGGAATCTAGCTATGCATTCCTATGCCTTTTTTTTTTCTGACGACTGCAGCTGTCAGAACACACAAAAAAAAAATCAGAAAAAAAACCCTGCAGATAGCAAAGAAGCTATTGCTTCCTGTGCTATCTGCCATCATTTCAGGGGGGTGCTCTCTCTCCCAGCCCACCCACTAACCCCCCCTCCGCGGATGGGGGGGGCACCTCCCTGAAGTGAGAGGGACACCTCCCTGAAATTGCTTCTTTCAGGTTGGGATCCCTGCACACAGCACTTCTGCCACCTCCATCTCTTAAGGAGTCTCACCCCTCCTGCTTCAACCCAAACCCCCACCAGAGTGTCAGAGGCATGTGCCCTCCTTCTCACTAGGTTATCTCCGCTGTTATTCAAATCCGTTACCCAGCTCTGGTCAATTTAACCTTCCCATAGGAGTCTCACTCCTTCCACTGCAATACCCACTCCCACCATTCCCCAGTATGTCTCACATCCCAGCATGTCATCTTGTCATGACAGGATCATTTGATTTTTACATATCATGCATACACCTTGTCCTTCGTGAGTGTCACCACAGTTCATTAACCCCCACGTAACCCTCCAGCCACCTTGATTTAAAACATATAGGCAGAGGTGTAACTAGAAACCTCAGGGCCCCGGTGCAAGAAACCATTAAGGCCCCCCACTCCCCCCCAAAAAAACAGCATGATTTTGATACCTTTTTTTTTTTCTTCTATTAAATAAACAGTATGTATGTTATGACTTTCAGGGCTAGTTCACACCAGCTCCAGTGTGTTCTGGCCCGGTTTAGTTCTGGAACACACTGGATCGCATCCCGGCCAGCTCACTGCGTTCTGGGGTGGGAGGGGGTGTGGAGATGCATTAAGGTCAATGGCACCGCATTGCGATCGTCTGCACCGGAACGCATGGAAAATCAATGCTTGCGTTCTGTTGCAGTCAGAAAAAATAGTGCATGCAAATGGAGTTCCCTGACTGGGCACCCCCCTCCCCCACTACAGCGTCTTCCCCATCCCTCTGTCTGAACTGCGGTCCGCAAGTGTCAAAAACACAGCTGGCAGCATGAGGCAGCTGCGTATGGCAGGCCCTATTCTTTCTCTCTGGGCTCCCCCCAACTGGCCGAACACCTGGGCCCGGTCGCAAATGCGACTGCTGCAACCCTGGTAATTTGGACTGCACTTAGTATGGGGCAGTTTCACAAGTACGTGTGAAAAAACCCAGTATTGGCACTGGTGCATCCCAACTTAATAATATAATGTATTGCTGGGACTTGTAGTCCTGCATAGTTGGTGCTATTCTGCATTGCTGTATAATCGTTATACAGCAATGCAGAATAGCACCAGCTATGCAGGACTACAAATCCCAGCAATACATTATAATGTGAATAATAATAATAATAATAACAGCAGCTTCTTGCGTCTGTCCGCCCCCCCCCCTTCCCCCACACTGGCCTCACCTGACTCCTACAGCAGCTCAGCTTCCTCATCTTTGGCGGCCAGGGGGCGGGGCTGAGTGGAGAGGGTCCTCTCCTAGCTGAAGAATGTGCTGCCAGGCAGACAAGTGACAGGCAGAGCCTCTCTATCCCCGCAAAGCCATCCGTACATGCAGAGCGGGGGATGGAGCGGCGCTATCTGGAGGGGGGGAAAGCATAAGGAAGCTTTCGGGCCCTCTGCTTCCTCTCTGGGCCCCAACAGGCAGAACGCCAGGGCCCGGTCGCAATTGGTAGTAACCCTGGTAGTTCCGCCAGTGCATGTAGGTATTCCCTACGCACAAACATCCTCCGCCCACAGCCAGGCACATCTGTCTTGTTTCCTCCAGGCCCACAGCAGGCCTCTCCCACCCCATGAATTCAAATAAAAACCCACCAGTACCTGTCATTTCCCTTCACTAGGCTTGAAAAAGAAGTTTACCTTCGAAACGCATTGCCATGTGAAGTCTCGTCACACACCACCTGGTGTAGTGATCCACTGTCTTCCCCACTGCACACACATATTTATTTTTTTATTTGGCACTGGTACATGTCCCCCATGGCAGTGCCCAGCTTTTGCTGCCTTTATATAATAAATTGCATATTAGCCTACAACTTGCCAGATCATTGTAACAGGATTTGACCCACATAGACTTCATTATGATTTGCTGCTAAGTTAGGGTTCTCCAGATTTCAAAGAGGATTTGCCAAACCACTGGCGAATTGAACCCTGGCATTTTGCACATCACTGTTCTGAACGTTGCACAAGAAATAATTATTAAAGAAAACACATGTTGAAATGGAAAACCATTTGCTGTGTGAAAGAAAGCAGAACAGTGAAAAGTTAAAATGTAAGCACATATACTGTAGTAGTTACATTTATGGCCATGAAATGGAGTTCTAATTATGTTTATTGATTTGCCAGATGAAGAAAGACTGACTTGTTTTTGAAGGCGCAAGCTCTAGGGTTCCCTATATAGTTAATTCACTACTTAGTGGCTGAACTAGCATGCAGCCATTGAAGTGTAAAGACACTAGCTACGCACATATGTATTCCAGGTCAGTGATTTACCAAGTGGTGCATAAACAACAAGCATAAGTGCCCAGCGCCTCCACTTTCACAAATAAGTCAGCAATGGCATCACCAATATTTTTTACTCTGGCAGGTACTTTTTAAAATAGCATGTTACAGTAAATATGACCTTATATCAACTTGGCTCAAATTTCAAGGCCCATCAACTGCTTCTGTATTATCATCCCTTTTCATCCTCCCTCTTTTTTCCTTAACTACTTCTACTGCCTTTTTTTCTTTTGTTCTTCTTTTACTTCCTTTTTCACCCCTCTGGTTTTTGGCTCAATCTGAAACACTGATGCAGCTGCTGCTTAATCACATTTTCTGTCCTTCTGTCCTAAGAAGGTAGCTTTTTTTTACTCTGGCTGATTGCAGCAAAGAAGATCTAAAGGTGCCCATACACTGTGCGATTATTGCACAATAATCGCGGGAAATCCCGCGATCGTACGATAATCGCAAAGTGTATGGAAGGTGTGCAACCGTTTTTACTGTAAGGTCGCACGTCTTTTGTCTAAGGAGCATCTTACGATTTTCGGCTGGTTTGTGGCATGCTCGGGAGACAAATGCCGAACAGGCCGGTGTGCGCACACGCAGCATTGCGGTCATCGCAAGCCGCCCCTCAGCGGGGCGGGCTTGCGATGATCGCAAGTACGATCTGCCTGTCCAAGATGGGCAGATCGTACGTTTTTTAAATTACTTTACAAGCATCGCAAGATTAATGTCTTGCAATGGTTGTAAAGTGTATGGCCACCTTAAGGCTGGGCACACACCTTACAACCATCGCAAGACTTTTGTCTTGCGATGGTTGTAAGCTCATTTAAAAAACGTACGATTTGCCCATCTTGGACAGACAGATCGTACTTGCGCACACCGTCCCGTCCGGCTTTTATCTTGCGAACATGCTACACACCCGCCGAAAATCGTATGATTCTCGGCGGGTTTTCGGACATGTTCCTAAGATAAAAGTTGTGCAACCTTACAGTAGCAGAGGTCGCACGCCTTCCACACACCTTACGATAATCGTACGATCGCGGGATTTCCCGCAATTATCGTACGATTATCGTAAGGTGTGTGGGCACCTTAAGGGCTTGTTCATGCAACGACCGGATTCTGTCCTGATCAGATCCGTGCGCTCCTGCACTAAAAATGCATCCCTATGTATCCCTATGTGTTCAGTCAGGACAGAAAATTTGATTATACAGCAGCTGCATCAGTGTTTCAGATTGAGCCAAAAACCTGCACGAACGCATTAAAAAAAACAACGAAAACACGCTGAAAAGCACCGCGCTGCAGCTAAGCAAAAAAAAGTATTCTTGCTACACATTTCATGATGTCATCATCGTTGGACTTCCTGGTTGTGGTGGAGCAGTAGAGGGAAAACCATTAGGCATGAACAACATGGTCCTGGACATAGAAAGATTTGTCGGATTGATGGAGCTTGCGCCAATGCTCTACGACCCTCGTCATCCACATTTCAAAAATGTGCATAAAAAAAAATCAAAACTGGAGAGAAATAGCCTCAGCGCTGTATGCTGAATTCACATTGTACAATAGTTAGGGTTGCCACCTTTTCTTCAACGAAACCCGAAGCAGATCCGCACCAGATCAGGACCGGAAAATCGTTAACAAGTCCTTAAACATTCTTCCCATCCAGATTTTTTGGATGTATTTACCACTTTTTTGACATAGGCATACCTATTTAACCTTTATATTTCTTCCTCCAGTAAACACACTCAAGCTAATGCAACAATTTTTTTTAAAAATTCCCGTGTACATTTTAGGAAATATGTGCATCAGAATTAAACATGAGAATTAGTTATGTAGGGGCCTTGCTTTAAACAAGAAGTAACAATGTGTGGGGTTATGAATATTGACTGCTGCTTGGTGCCTTCCTTCTTGGGCTTTGGCCTGGTGAGGATCTCACAGTGAGGAGGCCTTTCTTTGGGGTAGCTGGGGACCTGAGCCAAGACCCGAGGAATCTTATCTGACCTGTGTAAGGGCCTGGAGTATCAGGAAGGTGACTGTTGAGATTTTCAGGCCTTGTTCACACCAAATGCAGAGCAGATTTGCATGAGTTTCTGCACACGCTGTGCAGTGGGTTGTGCCGCGTTTTTACCGCGTTTTTTGCCGCGCTTTTGATGCGTTCCGGGCCATTTTTGGTAAACACAGTTTTTTCAATTTCTTTTTAGTTTAAAATGGGCTTTCAGTGAGTTCCAGGGCGTTTGCATGCGTCTTTGATGCGTTTGCATGCGTTCCAGAGCAGGTAAAATAGGGCCTGCTGCAGTTTTTTTACCTCTGGAACGGAACGCTGCGATGTGAACTGGAGCTAAAAATACAATTGGAATACTTTGGACGCAGTTTTGCTCTGGTCTGTAACTGCTCTGCTCTGCTCCTGGAACGTGCTTGGTGTGAACAAGGCCTGGAGGAGACTGTTGTAGTGAATAATATTCAGGAGAGCTTGGGGGAAGCTGCTGCTGGATGGACATTGCATGGAGACCTAATTTCTCAGCTTTTTATAGTATTTGTAACTGCTCACATGGGGTCCGAGGACCAATCCCTATTAGGTGGCTCCGACTAAAATATTAGGCAAGACGAAACTCAGCACCCCCTAAATATGTCCCACCCCTTCCTGTTCAAGACATTTTGCGTTGCATGTCAAGTTGCTGGATACAGCTTCTGACAGGTTGCGCTATTAGGCCTCATTCAGAGTGGGGCTGTACAGAGCAGAGTGGGGCCGTACAGATCCGTGCAGCGTGCATCCGCTCCCGGGAAGGACAGGTGCTGCGTGTGATTTGTACGCAGCAGCCTGTTCTTCTCTATGCTCACACGAACTGCACATCCGTGCGGATGCGGATCTCCGTACTCGACGCCCGAACCTGGACGGATGTGTATAGGCTGACTCTAAGCAGTGTGAATGAGGCCTTAGTGTTGCAGGGAAGCCGAGGTTTCAGGTGGGCTGTAAAGTATCTCTGGTGAGCTCTGCAGGGTGTCAGGCTGAGACCGCCAAAGACGCGGCACATCCCACTATAGACCATGCACAGCCCACCTGAGTCCCTACAAACCCCACCAGAGACCCCCCAGAGCCCACCATAGACCCTGCACAGAGACTATAAGGTGGGCTTTGCAGGATATATCATGGGCTGTGCAGGGTCCCTTTCCCTGCACGCATGCTGCTCCTCTTACCTGCAGCTCCCCAGCCTGCTTCCAGGACATGCCACTTCTTCCTTTAGCCACCAAAGCATCTTACTGGAGCTGCCCTCAGCCTTTGCCGGCCGTGTCTCCCTCTGTCCCACCAGCATTGTGTCTTCCCGCAGCCGCCGAGGCTTCTTGGAGACACACGCAGCCTCCGCCGGCAAGGCCGCATCTCCCTCTGCCCCAACCATGCCTCCTCTTACACCCCGGCAGCTCGCTGCCAGGCCCCACTAGCAGCCACCTGATTAGGCAGCCAAGGCTGCCTGATCTTGTGCGCCCGTCCCCAGCTTTCCTCTTTGCAGGAGGGCGAAAAATGCAGCGCCCCCTGCAAAGTGCCGCTCCAGGCAAACGCCTTGTTTGCCTTGGGGTAAATACACCCCTGGGTATTCTGTACCCCTACCCTCTCCGCAAGTTATTTGAGCAAATACATTATAAAAAGACTAAAGTGACTGGTATCCCACTGTTTAATTTCCCCCACCTCCTGAGCCACTTGGGGGTCATCCAGGGGTGGACTGGGCCGGGGGCAGGGTGGCAATTGCCCCCCGGGCCTCTCTGGTGACTGTAAAAACGGCCCCCGTCGGCACAGCAGCAATCTCTTTGTTCATCTCTCCCCTGTCAGCCGCTCTACTCCTGCAGCAGCCTGGGAGGAGAAGCAGCAGCTCATCGGCTGCCTTTGATCA